ATCCAAAGGCACGTTTCTTTTAACACTCCATGTATATTTTTTGCTGACTTTTGTTGTTCATATTGTGTAACGCATTCGATGTATATGACGAACCAATGTCATGTCTGTTCCAGTCTAGGGTCTGGAAGTAAATTTGTGGCCTCCGCCGATGTTTGTGTGATTTATGAAATTTTTGTTCTGTGTCGAAATGAAATTTTTGGACTTTGTGGTTAACACTTAATCAGCGAGTGATTAATTGGCAAAATTGTTTAGTGCGGTCATCAGTTATTGATGAGCACTGTAATTTTTAGTCTTTGATTTGCAGGTTTTTCGAACTGTCGATACGGTATTTTGGGTTGTAAACAGACTATTCGTTATTAGAGTAGTGTAAACAGCTTCGTTACAGCTATTAGTTTTCGAATTCCCAGCACCTTTTAATTAAACAAAGGTTCTAACCTGCAAGATTTTAAGAAAGTCTGGCGAAACCAAAACGGTAAGATGTTATGATAGCTAATGTGCCGTTTTCCGCAAGCAATTGTTTTAGTGTAAAACAGTTAATCATCCCTTAATCACTTACTGGGAAGCGGAAGAATGGTTTGATGTTATTTCTGTGGAAACGGGTCGTACCATAATCCTCAGTGCGTGAATTGCGTTAAAGTTAAGGAAGTATATCTGCTGGCAGGTTTGCCGAATAAGAAGGATTTTACTTTCTCTTCGTCAAGGATTAAGTCGAAATTGTATGTAATTAATGAAACGCCAGTGATGTATTAATTATTTGTAACTGACTTTTGAGTGTTTGTGTTAAATGTGTCTTAGCTGTAAAATCTCGATTAGTTTTTAAACAACTGCTTGATAAGGAAGGGTTTGCTTCTGGATGTTTCGCTTGGGTATGTGTTTCCCTTCAGAGAAAATCGCTGACGAACGTGATAATCAAACTACAAACATCGCTTTCGTTGTGCATAACGGGCTGGTTCTGTGCTGCTTTTTCAGTATAATTATCGTCGAAAGAGCAAAATCTAGCTAAAGTAACGGTATAAAATGAGTTTTACAGCAAACATATTCTCCTTAGTTTATTACTCTGACCTCGAGAGCGTTTGCCACTTGTAACACCGATACTTCGGAATCCTGCTGAATGATAAATTGAAGAAAGCAATATTATCTCCGACTCTTAAGGCTACCGATCTGCACATGTAGTGAATTCATCAATTAGACTTGGGGTGCCTGGCACCATCGATTATATCACCGACTTCAAAAATTTTGTCGGATAGCTAAACAGATTTCAGACATCTCAAAGGACAGTCAGTAACGCAGAGTCAGCGTGCTGCAGAACGCACCATCCTTGTCAGAATTTTTGCTGTAGCATATGTTCGTAGGGTTGTCACTACGCATATCATAGCAGGTGAAAGTACTGAATCAGACATTCAGCCCTTCGCGGAAGTATAAACAGAAGCTGAGGCTTGGCAAATTTTTACTCTAAGGTGATGTTTCCTGCTGAACTTTCATCTGATGCAGAGAATGATTTGTTAATTATTGGATAATTTGACTTTTGCAGTGGCGCGCTGGCAATGCGTGATAGGTCTTCTTCGAACTCTGAAGTGTGAGGTTCGATTGCCATGGGGAACAATGTATCTTTCTCATCAATATCTCTGAGCAAGAAATTTTCCAAATTTTTTTCCAATCGAGGCTACTCGGTCAGTAGAGCGTCGCGCTCGAGTTAAAGTTCTGGTTGGGGTCAGTAGTTCTTCCAGTGTTAAATAAATCAGTAGGAAGGGGAGCGCATACAATACCTTTTTGTACCTGCTGTCGATCTGCCACTCCTGGCTAATGACATGGAAATAGAGGTACAGACAGCCACAATAAGACCCCCTTGCAGGAACACTGCTCACATACAGATATCGAAATTGAAGTGACTCCTGCTTATATACTAGATAATCACCTATTCAGTGGTCAGGGCGAAGTCTGGCGTAAGTGGATGCTAATATCGGAGAGCATTGTAGTACTCGTCGTCTATTATCAATTTGGAATTCGAAGCCAGTTATGGCCGATCATCACTTGCTGCCTTACTACAGCTCATGATCACATACAAAAGTTTTGATTCTTGAAAGCTCTTAATGATTTACGTTTTCATAAATCACTACAAATACGTTTCATCCCGTAAATTCATGTTAATGATTGTCTATTTTCACGCCTACTATTAAGTAACAGCTTTCGGTACAGCGTTTTCACATTGCTGTTGTATAAAACTACAAGATATTTAATTGAAAAAATTATTCTAAATCTCAAAAAATTTATTAGTGATTAGTGAACGTTTGCATGCATGTAGTTTATCAATGCATTATAGAAAAAATAATTTAAAATACCCTAGATTTTGCACTAAAGCAGGTCGCAATGGGATCGTTCTGCTAATTTTTACTAATTCGTTAAACGATTACTTATTCATTGTTACACAATTTTGAAAGGCTTTCATGCCAAGCTTCAATTGTTTATGCGGTTGTTGCATTTAAATTTCTTTTAGTATTTATTATTGCTTCAGTAGCTTTACCATGCTTCAGTAGCTTTTGGTTTTTCGCTAAAAGAGTTAATTATCAAAATATCAACAGTGGAAAATAAGAATTTTCTTTTTCAGCAGTTAATGAAATGTTGTGAATCGAAGGATAGCTAGCAGCTGCATCGATTCTACTCATTTCGCCTCCATTGAAATAGATCGTGGAAATATCTTACATGCTTTGGATAAAAATTGGGAAATAGTTCACAATTCTGTTGAGAGTCAATTTTAAAGAGTCCAGCGAGACTTTACCAAATGATAGGAGACAACAGACTGCCCATAGGTATGCCTTTAATAAGGAAGTCAGGAACTCTGGCCGCTTGTCCTTTCTTTCATCTGGTGGAAGACGCAGCAAACAATGCCTCTAGCATTTCCAATTTTCTGTCATCGTTTAAGCTTCAGCAGGAGATAACTTTAGTTTCAGTATATGTCAAGACACTTGCTCAACGTAATTCTTGATTATTCTTGGAGAGGTCGGAAGGCAGGTAGTGGTTGTATCGCTTTCTTTAACGGAAACATTCGCAGCATGTGTCTAAGCCACCGCAACGCTGCAATCTTAATCTGCAGAATCAGTAACTGTATATCAAAGTTTTCTTGGATATCTGAACTCCGCACCACGTCGAAATGCGCCAGCCCGGCGATTCGTCTTAGGCCATTTCAGCCGTTAACGATGAATCGAAGCTCCGGCCCATGATCGTAGGTGAGTATCGGAATTAAAATTGACTTTAACACGGCAGATTAGGTTTAGAATGTTATCAGACACGCAACGGGTTGTTGCACGGGATTCACTTATAAGTTTTACACAGATCACAAAGTTGAGCCAACTCCCACGATTTCTCAACAATTTGGAGTAAATCAAAGATGTAATCAGATGTGCTTTGAACGCACTTGAAGCCAGACTGCTCTTCTTGAATCTTGCAGTGAACCATTCTACTGGCATCTGCTATCCAATGCTTTGTCTAGAATTTTTCCGTAGAAGAATCTTTATTAAAAAAAATTTTGTTGAAATGATAGAGTAATCTCTTTTTTGCAAGCTCATTAGCGGAAGCTGAATTTGGACTTCGAGACCTTCCCATTGCAAAATACAGAAAACAGAAATGAAGAAGTCTTAGACAATGCAGGAAATATTTGCGGCTTATCAGTGAACCATCACGGCGTTTTAAAACGGGGATAACGCATTAAGGGCTAAAATGTATTTTATCAATAAATTTTACGTTCAGCTGTTTGAGTCATTTTTTCTCGTAAGTTAAGTGCGGCATGCCGAACTGAAAATGGAGGAAGGGAGATCCGGTCTGACAAGGAAATGATCAGACGTTGTCGAGGGCTCTAGGGGAGATATTCAATTACTATTTATAAGCGAAAAAAACCATAATTTTTATAGGATTCAAAAACAGTCGTACTGTTCAAGAAGGACCAGAAGAAAGATTTGAAGAACTATCGGTTTAATCTGCGTGCAGGCTGTTCATTAAGATGACCAATAGACTGTCAGCAGGGTCTGAACGAACAGAAGCGAAGACGATATGGAAATTACACGACCCAGCGGATAACATTTTTACCATAAATCAATCCTTCAAGTGCGCAAGGTCGATGTTTCACGGAAGAACGTGAAATAATCGGAAATACTTCCAGTTAACTCTTCACTGTCTGTTTGGAAATGATATGCCGGAAGATAAACAGGAATGATGAGAATAAAGTCAACTGTGAACGGGTCAAGCAGTTAAGGGTAGTCAATCATGTTGTGTGGTTTGTGAAAAATGACAGTCACGACCTGCTGTAAGAGCTCAACATGAACAGTGCAGAAGCCGGAACGTGAATCAGTCAGTTGAAGACTAAAATTATGCGATCGTATACACTCTTAAGGTCAGTGTAAAGACAATATGAACGAAAAGATGGAGGTCAATAAACACATTTACCTTGCTCAAGAGATTAACATGCACTATGAACAAATCACAAAGTAGAGGGCCGGTTGGCACGTATTACGTTCTACTGAGGACATCTCTTAGGTAATATCAGAAATATAACCTACGTCAACTCCTTTTATTCTACCATTCTGGAGGCGATTTTTTATGGCTGTGAGGCATAGTCATTTACTATGGCCGAAGAGCGCCAGCAATTTGTCACCAAGAGTGTCATGGAGAGAAGCATGTCAAAAATTTCACGTCGTAACCACATCACTTACACAATGAACAAACGGCGCAAGGGAGTGAAGGATGTCGTCGACAAAGTATGAAGGAGAAGATGCAGAAGGCTAGACACATGGTCCTTTCCAACGGCAGATAGTCGACGATTACAGTCGATTGATACCCCCGCCGGAGGATCATGTCATCTGGTCACCTACCACGACGGTAGGAAGATTATGTAAGCAGGCGGAAATGCCGTATTCATAGGAAGAAGGCTTCAAATTGTGAGGAGCGTTATCGAAACGTGCGATTCGTCACCGATTACCGATCGGTGTGCGCATTCCATTTGATGACTGGGTGTGCAAGAGCACATGATTTATATGTTTCCTTGGCCACTTTTTAGTTGTGTACAATTTATTGTTAGATTACACCATCCCGAGATATAATTAATGAAATCATTTCATTATGTCGTTACGAGTCACCATTAATTTTCCAATGTTGTCGAGTCAATAATAATCCTGCTTTGCTAATGGAACTACGGAAAAGATTTCTATTGATGACCTACTGCTTGGCAAAGATTCTATCACCGACAGATTTTATATACAAGGGGTGCAGTTTTTAAACGTTGTTGTGCAGAAACAAACAGGCACAGATGGCATGCAAGGAACTATTTTAGTACAAGAATTTCGATAAATCTTTTAAAATTAGTTCATTTGTACTTAATTAACGACTCTGCATCATTAATTGTGCAATTAGAAGACAAACCATCAGAAAGTCACTTGATTGAAGACTTTCACGCTAAGATACGTGTATTGGTTGATTGGGGCTTCGTGTTTTTTAGTTTAAGGATAATTAGTTTGATTGATAGTCGCATTAAGCAATAATTTTTGCCGCAAGTAGTCTAGTTTTGTATGCATTTACGATATACATTGTCAAACAACCAGAAAAGTAGTAAAATTCACAACTAGTTTGAATGCAAAAAGCGACCGGATAAGTTCCTACCTATTTCTACAGTATTTTTACCTGAATTCCCGCAGCCGTATTCATACTGCTTATATAGTACATGAGGAAACTTCGTTGGGCCGGCATCCTTATGCAGTGACAGAAGTTGCAGATGTTCCGTTTGGTGCCGTACCTTGGGTTGACGTTGTTTTAAGGTTGTGAAGAAATTATATTTGTAGAAGATATGGAGGATTTTCTTTAAAATGATCTCTTGTAGCGATCGGACTGGAAAATGGTATGTTAAATTATGCAAGTCAGCTGTCTACTGCGTAAGAGCCGTACACTTTTCATCTTTACTGTTGTTCTGCCATAGCAGACTCGCTGAGTTATTGAACGTCTCGATGATTATACATCAAACTGTCTTGATGTGTCCGGAAGGAAAGGAACAGCCTGCTGTCCTTCACCTTGTGCGCATTCTCTGTTGCTAACATTGCAAGAAGACTGCAGTGGAAGACCCTTCCGCTCTACGCATTGCAGGTGGCATGTTGATTCCTCGCGCGGTGTGATTTCTGCTTGGCTACTTTATTTCCTTGACTTCCGTACTCAATACACAATGCTCTAATGGAAATGGTTTGGAAATGGGTATCAAGTCGATCACCCTCGAACGACTGGTCTTAACATGAGGTCTTAAAATATGTAAGCCAGATTTTACGAAGTTTATCGTTCATGGTAATTTGATGCACGGGCTATACAACGACAGTGTTCTGACTGACTCTTTGTAGGACTGTTTCATATATAACATTGTGATAACAAATCGTTTTGATCCGTATCCAGTCTTCTTTTTCTCATGCCACTGCATCGAAGACGACGGCAGATTCTGTACAAGCATTTAACCTGGATTTAATTAACGCATACTTAAACTTTAGTCCTTTGGATGCGATATCACTTCTAACGAGATCTTTCCATATTTGTTGGGGGTCTTCCTGCAGATCGTCTGCCGTCACGCTTCTCGTTTTTAATTTGCTTCACAAGTCATCTATCGTCCGGTCATTGCCAGTGGTTCCATCATCTTAAACTTGTTAAATTGTCTAATCATATGCCGTAATTGATTTAAAAGTCTTATGCCAGTTTCAGGATTTCCATTCATATCTTCTCATAATGTTTTTCTCACGAGTTTCACAGAATGAGCTTAAGTTTCGTTATTCGCATCCGCGTACATAATGTGTCAGCCATTTTATCGCGCTGAATGCAGTTCTGTTGTTTGTAGCTTCCTCTTGTCACTGCACTATGGCTGCCATGAACAGTTTTGATTACCTGCCGTTCTTCAACGAAGAGCTCGTTCCGAAGCTTCTGGAAGACGTCTTAGATTGGGCACTGGTAAGTTGGTTGTATGCTACTGTTTGAAAAAATCTGTCCACTGTGGGTCTCTTATTGAGTTGCCCTCTAACTTTGCCCTTTCTTCGAAATGATGGTCGCATACCGCATACCCCAATTTATTCTGCTATTTCATATTTGCATGTTTAGTATCGAAAGTAAAGTTAGAATGTCAATTAAATAGTTGCAGTTGCTCTGAAAAGCAGTCAGGCTAATTGTTTCTGCTATGATGAATAAAGTCAAGCTTGAATCGATTTGTTTTGGTGCTTAATTCACCGAAGTAGTTTCAAACGGTTTACTTCGGATGTGTGTTGTTGTTGTCACCATCGTCTGAAGTATCAGGGTTAAATTCCGAATACCCAGATTAATTATGTTTGACGCTTTGGCTTTTCAGAATGCAGCGAAGGTCAGATTCCTCATCAAAAATACCTCCTCTAGTGGCTGTTGTAGAGTGTGATGTTGGTCTCCGACGCGTCTACCAACATTTTTGCTTCCCGAAGAAAATGGTTTTGTGTAGGTCTCCATTCTCTCTCCGGATGGTTCTGTCAGGCCACGACAAACATCGTCCGTAATTTCTTCAAACAACATTCACACGCCAGTACTCTCCAAGGATTTTTCATCCTTCGTTCGATGGAACCATTGTACTTTTAGAATCTTCTGCAGACAGCGCTACCGAAAGTGTACGCCATCTTTTCATGGCGCTTTAAAAGGGTAGATTTTTTGAGGCTGTGCATCATGATCTACGTCAAATATATATTGCGGCTACATTTGCCGACATTTCAGATGCAACATCAGTAACAATACTTATGACGTTTTGTGCTAATTATCAATCTATAGTCAGCTCTCGGGTGGTACAAGGTGAATGACGGCTTTAAAGGATGTTTGCCTTTGACAGTATGACTATAAATCTCATCGACTTTGGTACAGCCACATTACAACGCAATGCTGTCCTTGTCGTTCGTAAGTCAACAACTTGTTACCTGTTTTTCTGCTGGTTGGACCGAAGCAATGCGGGGTGTATTCTTTGCTCAAAGGAATTTTAGGTTTAAAGATATATACGTTTCTTCCTCGGGGTTGAAAGTTTGATACCGATTTCTCACAGCTATGACGCTCATCGCTTCCCCAGTGCCATAAGATTCATCTCCAACGGTCGCAGTTAATTCACAGTTTATGAAATTGGTATCCGTAAATCACAAATATAGTATGCACAAGTGCAGTATGTTGAAATTTAAGCCATTAGTTTAATTGCATCCCTTTATGATGGATCCAGGGCCATTCATAATATTGCAAATTGTAAAATTTGCATTATAAATCATTTGTATGCCGTTATAATCAAGAAGAATTCTCCCGCAACAAGGAATGAACTAACAGTTCCAAAGTGGGTGATTCATAATGTTATTTTCTGTGACCGTCACTACTTGTTTCCGAATTAGTACTTAGGATACTTCCTATAAGAAAAATTTGTATTATAGGCATGAAAAAACATCCTTTTTCAGCACCATTGAACCGTCATCTCTAGATATTGAATAACAGTGATAAATCCTGTCCAACGGTTTCCTGAGAGCCAGCTCTTAATCACTATCCATTTCTTGTTACGTAGCCAATAATTTTTAGTAGAATTCATACCTAAGAGTTGTTCCAAACGCTTCATTTCAAAGATTAGGGGAGGTGCTAAGATTAAGACTCAGGGCTAAGATAAGTTATCATTATCTCGTCTAGCATCTGTTGAATAGAGTGACAGGAAGATGGTATTTCATCATAGCGTTTTTCAGTTGTTTCTGTTTTTTGGGTGGAAGATTATTTTACATACATCCATTAATTTACCAGCTATTTATTTTTACGGCCTGCATTTACTTTCAAATTTTTCGCAGCATTGAATGGAGCTTTCCTAATAGTTCTGGTCTTCCTCTAATAGCACATGCTCCGCGGAGGGATTCCACAGCAGGTTAATGTTGTATTCGGTGTACTCAAGTCAGCTATTGAGCTGCCTAGTTGCCCCTTCCATGTGTAAAGAGATTTTATCGAGTTTGTTTCTTCGATCCCTTCTTTGACATCCGTATCCATTCACTTGTTCAAGCTATTACAGTTGTTATCTCTTGATCTGGCAAAAGAGCAGCTGGTATGCAACTAAGTTTTAGATTTTTGTGTTGTGAAGATTGTTAAGCCTAACTTATTTGAAGTTATGTATTGAGATTCTTATGCAAATTATTATTTAGACCTGTGGGATTATGTCTGTTAACATTCATAAATTCGCGGCTGGCCCTTGGTGATATTGTTTCACTACTAGTTTTCAGTAGCAAAAACAAACAGTAAGGTGTTGCCCTTTGTTAAAGTTATAGATGCCATGTCCTACGTTCTATAGTTCGCCATCGTTTTGACATATAAAACAGCAATTCTGAGATACGGGCTCAAAATCTAAACTGAAAGTACTTGTATTTCTTCTATGTCTCATCCTTTTAAGTGTTGATGTGCGTCACAATTACACTAGTAAAAATATTTATGACACATTGCTTTCGTTTAAATCAGGATACGAGTAGTTTGAAGGCGTGGTCGAAACATTGCTGGTTTGAATTTCGACATGATCCCTCAACTTTTATCCTCCTGAGGTATGTAATAGAATACCATGAATGGACGCACAAGTTATATCCCGTGAGGTAACTGTAATGAAAATAATGATACTAGATATATCTGACACTATAGTTGCTTGGACCTAATGAATATGTGGCTTGTATAAATTGCTCACCCCCATAGCAGCTAGGAGTAAGAGAACAGTGCAATACGCCGTAAAAACTTGTCTTGCAGGAGTTTTGCGTTACCTGAACGTGCATAACGCTGTAGATATAGCGCTCATTTCTAATTGATGACATCGAAGTGGAAATCACCGTCGCACTATGGCTTTCAGAATTCCATCATCTTCGTATTTGGTACTGGTACATTTAACACCGATATACGGCACATCCACTTATGATATTGCATCATGTATCTGTTTAATATATGTAAGCCGTATTGAAAAAGGACCATGAAATACTGCTCGAACGTTCGATTCGACAGAATTTTCTATAACTCTGTTCACAGACGTTTTTTGCTACGAAGCCACTTTTCAGTTTTACTGCGTTGTTGATAACCCTACATGCATTTGTTCTCATTTGACTTTTCCTCTCTTTCATAACATGTTTGACATTATATTACTTTAATCAGGATAGGGTTAATGGATCTTTGAAATCCTGTTCTGTATCTCTTCAAAATGTAATTATATCTCATTCCTGGCATTTCTGACAAGACAGCCACAAAAGTTTATGAAGGGAAGAGTTAGACTCAGTCAGTAGAATGTTGCGTGTGTGGTTTTTTCGATGGTACGTTACTACCTCTTGGACTGCTCAGTCACGGGACTCTATCAGCGATTCACTAATTTGGCTACAGCTGTCATGTTTTTGTCCACTGTCCATATGTGTAGGAAGACAGTACGTCACTTGGAAATGTCAATATCGGGATGTGACACCATTTCTAACTCTCAGATATCACAAGTCTGAGTCACTTCGCTGTTCAACGTTTGTTAGTAGTAGGTAGGGATGGCAGCGAAAAGTGTTTAATTGCTTCAAATGCAGGGCAGCTGTTTTTTGAATCTTGAATCTTTGTTGTAAATAAAAATTTGATTTTAAATTTTTGGTTTTTTATTATTTTCCATAGTGTCGATTTGAATTGACTTACTTTTGTAGATACATGGATTATCGTTCCGTCGCAAAGGTTCGCCATGTAAATATTCACTGACAGCTGCCCCCTTTACTCTGTTGCCGTCGAAGTTTCCTGCTGACGTCTTCTTCGACATGCTCTCCTTGCAGCCGGTATGAAAGCCGCTTTCAATATTGCAGTGATATGTTGACGATTTCAGGACATGGGCTCACTTTACCGCCGAATCGCTTATGATTTCGATTTTGTAAAATCGGCTTTACAAGGCGTAGGCACCGTCGATAAATTCGTCGAGAATTTGTTGAACATTTACAAAACGGTCGAAAAAGAGGGTATAACTCAGCCTCTGTCACTTGACGTTCAACGGTCCGATTACATGTGTAGCCTAAACCAGGAGACGCATAAAGCCTCTGCGAAACAGATCGAGGTGAACAACATTGCGGTGAGTTTCGCCGGTTTGGCGTCGGTATGCTCGCAGTTGCATAAGTGGCTTTTGAGATTGCTGATGTGCGGGAACACTGGCGTCGTCGAAACAAATCTGCCGGCGAACGATTCGCTCCAAACCGTTGCTGCCGCTCTTGTTGAAGCGTGGAAATTATATGGTCAACAGCAGGCAGCAATTCTGTTTGTAGTGGAAGAGGTGACTTTGAATGTCTCGGACCAGCGGCTTATCGAATATGCAGTGTCTGACTTGACTGGTGGTAAAGTTCGTGTTCTGCGTTTGACTCTCGGTGACTGCTATCGGCGATTGAAATTGGACGAAAGTCGCGGTCGAGCGTTGGTACTAACTGACGATGACAACTGCGAAATCGCTGTCGCCTATTTTCGTACTGGTTACGTGCCGGAACAGTACGATGGAGACAATTCATGGGCAGCCAGGATGCTTATCGAAAGGTCACGAGCCATCAAATGTCCTTGGATCGGCTACCAGCTGGCGGGAACGAAGAAGATTCAACAACTGCTGACGAATGCGGACATTTTGAGACGCTTCGTCAGTGACGACCGTATGGCCTCGAAGATACAAAGTACGTTTGCAAACATGTATGGTCTGGAAGCAGAAAGCGCCGATATTCAGACAGTCATCGATATGGTGCTGTACAATCCTGGCGCTTTCGTGATGAAGCCTCAGTTGGAAGGTGGAGGTAACAATTTATTCGATGAAGACATTGTTAATGTGCTGAAAACCGCCTCTCCTGAATCATTGCAACGATTTATCATCATGGATCGAGTATTTCCGTTGGAGCATCGCAACATTATTGTGCGCTCTGAAACGGGCGAGATTGTCCCCCGTCGAGTGGTGAGTGAACTGGGTATTTTCGGTTGCATGATCGGCGACGATAAAAATATTCTGTGGCAACTGAATAAGGGCCATCTACTGCGGACTAAGTTGTTTGAGACCAACGAAGGGGGCGTCATTGTCGGAGCATCTGCCCTAGATAGTCCGTACCTTTCTTAAAAGGAAATCTAGAGACTTGCCTACTGATAATTTTTCATATAAACTCACGCTTGTCATTTCTGTTGTCATTATTGAAGCGAATTTATTATAATTTTTGTTTGTTCTGATTCTTGTCAACTGTACCGATCGTATTTTTTTTAATTGTCGATCGTCGTGAAAAATTTGTCTCCTGTTAAAAGACGTAGAATATGTGAAACACCATAGCATTTTATGAACCTAGGATTTCTGAATTCTCAGAATGATCCTTAATTCATACTTAGTGACTGAGTTGTTTTCAGGTCAACGGACGAACTAGAAAGTTTGCTGACGAATGTGGGGTATGGAATTTCAGCCTACAATGAAATGAAGATTATTTAGACCAACTGTTCGAAACGTCATTCTCTTTGTTTTCGTCATACCAGGATCTTTGCGAATGAGAGTTGCGGAAGATGAAAAAACGAACAGATGACGTAAAGTAAACTAAGGCACTAATGGTATGGGGGTTTGCGTACCCTCCATTGCTGTATATAACATTTTTAAAAAAAGATTTCCATAACTTAAACGAATTCACTGAAGAACAGTTTTTGGCGACATAGGCTACTGCAATCAAAGTAGAGAGCGGTGGTTCGAACTGAATCAGTTGCAGAACTGTCACGCTAATACGAATACCATATATATTTGAGAAACTATGTTAGATTGAGCGTAGTCACAAGTGTTGTCTACTCGTATCACTGTTTTTGAAGACTAGCGCTGAGGCTAGAATCAAAACACCCTACAAAACAGGTAGTTCTGAAAGGGTTTTTTTCTGAACTCTGATTGTCTTATCACTGAGCAATACCATCAGTGTGATTTGAATAAGCCTTTCTAAGTGCTTTTTAAATTTAGGAACTCTATGACAACATCGAAAAGTTCTCCTTAGAGGTTTCTAATCGTGATTTCTCCTTACCGATAACAGGCGTCGCCTAGCCTGATGTCCTACGTGCGCGTTCCAGAACGACCAGTCTATGCTTAGTCGCTAGAACTTCAGACTCAGAACCGAAATGTCCCATATTTGAGCATCGTAAGTCAGTTACCTTTCTTTTTTATGAACTTCATAAGTTAGGGCTGTGATTACCCCATTGCTAATGTCAATTCCGCTTTTAAAATAAGGCACTTTTGGATTATGGCATAAAAATGAAGACCGTCTCAAGCTTCATGAAATAAAACGCGTCATGAAGAGCGAGATTCCAACGTTTACAATCTTTCCTTTTCTCCATGTTTCCCAAGAGACATTTTTAACTTCTCTTCGATCGTGCGTCGGTCCTCTTGTCAGTCCGTTGGCTGGCAGAAGAAATCATCTTCCATGGTCGCGGAGGCAGACGTGTCAGACGATGCCTTCGACGTTGCTGATCCTGTGCCAGAGTCTAAGTTTTGGCAGAAGACAGCTGGGGGCTGGAACAGACTTACGGTCGGAAACTGGCAAAAGAAGATGCGGTTCTCAACCAATTAGTGAATCGTAGACCTCGATCTATGTTCCATTAACTTTCCAGCATGCACTTTCAATGCAATTGAACGCGAAACCTGGAACCAGCAATAGGGGACAACCCCGTCAAAATAAACAACAGGTGATAGACGAAGAAATCAAATGATGGTCATGCAAGTAACATGGCTTACAACACTCATGCGAAAGAATATTACTAAGAGAGATTTGTGTCGATGAGACAACGAAGTCTAGCTAAATAATCGGATTATCTCGTTAAAATCCAAACGACGGGCAGAGCATTCGTGATCACATTGGAGATGACAGCATTATTAGGCTCAAAAAGTATTGCATTTAAATTTCTAATTCCCTGAATAATTCAAAGTAGACACTTTTTTCACGAATAAAGAGGAATAACCAAATTACTGGTCTACGTGGATGAGCGTAACGGAACTTCGTATGTCGTTGAAGATGTCTAGAGAAGGGTTTTTCTAATGAGAATTGAGGCAACATGCCTTGAACTTATTATTTATAACTATGTCAGTTTTGGTTAGCCATTTTGAAAAATTTTATTTGTTGAAAGAGATTTGCTGCATTTTAGGGAATAGGAGAAAGAAATTGTATTTGTATCGATCTAAAGAAACTTCACTTCTTGGGAGACATGAATCACCATTGGTACTAGGTTTCAGCTAAAGCTTTAATTTCACTAAAGTTGTGGAACCGATCAAAGTATAGGAATAAACCTGTTTCATAGTCTGGCTGTCTGGAAACTGTAGGTCGAAAACCCTGTGCAGTAAGAACAGGAATTGGTCGTGTGTCAATGTTTTAATTTAATGTTTTCTGATGATGTAATGATCTGTGTAGCGAAATGCGTCGGTGAGCTGTTGTACCGTCTGTCATAGTTTGTGCCGTGCAACATGACTTATACTAACACTTTTTTTTGGAAATAAAATGGAAAAATTTTAGTTCTCTGAGGAATTGATCTCAAATGCAAAATACTGCTGATTCGTTAAAATTGGTATGAAATTAATTATATATAAAAAATATGTAAAATATGACAGAGAAATATATTGACTGTGAGTGTAAGTGAAAAATGGAGCCGGGTATGACTTTATTGAGCAGGATATCCGACATCGTCTACTCACAAGCGCTATCCCGTCACTACAACGACGCGGGGACTTTTGCCTGCTGCGTTTCCGCCCTGGGCCAGT